CATCGTGCAAGAGCAAGCATTCCGAACAAGGCTAGATAAAAGCAGCCATTGATATCTAACAATATCTTAAAAAATCTCTCTACAGACTTACTTCGCTACCGAAGTTATCCAACAAGTATCCAATATGTATTACATAGTGAGGATGCCCCATTGAGATTATAGCTGAATTTAATGCAGTTTATAAAAAAATGCTCATGGGGCAATATATGTGATATACAATGTGGTATATAATTACTAAATATACCTGGGGAACACTGAAAGTAGTAAGTATAACTCTCATATCACATACAACTGGGGCCGGAAACTTTTTGTTGCTCGCGGGCCAAAATTAAGTGTTGTAAATCTTGGCAGGTCGCACATATCTTTTTAAGAAAGTTAAAAACCGAACCGATTTTTTATTCTACTCGAGAAACATTATTGAAGAATAAATCTGGTCAAACGTTCTGAGTATCTGCTAATATAGTTTTAACTTATCCTAATCGAAAATAAATAAAGTAGAATATTAATTCTTTTCACATTTCTGAAATGCTCAAAGTGAATGTACCTGCACCTAGCATCGTAATGCAAAAAATACTCTGGCTTAGCATTATTTTATTGAGTTATTGTGGAATGAAACACGAATAACAAGATTGTAAAGTAAATTATGAAATTCCATCTTTTATCTTCAAAGTCATAAAATCTTTAAAACCTGTCACACCCGGAAAACAAGCGGTTCACAAGAATCTCTCTACAGACCCAAATTGTCGAAATGTCATATACAACATGGTCTTATATTCACCAAATATACATGGGGAACACTGACAGTAGTAAGCCTAACTCTCATATCACATACAAGAATCCAATCAGTTGAAATTATAATCGAACATAGTTAAACAAAACTTTGTACAAAAATTCTCGTCATATACGTCAAGAACCAGATACTAAAAAATTCAGAACTCAGAAAAAAAGATAAATTGACTGAGTGAGTCAAAAAGTTCCAATCTTCAAAAACAGCACATAATCGAGAGTTGCTGTCTTGCACAGAGTAAAGAGTAGAGATTAGTATTTATATGCGCCAGACAAGTATACTAGTTTATAAAAGAAAACTTGAGCGTGGTATTCTATGAATACTATCTCAACAGCATGTGATGGAAATTTAGTTCAGAAGGATTGCAGGGTTGTTGCCTGTATAAGGCAGGTGCGTTCTGGTATTGGATAAGTTGTTGAGGCATCGTTGTGTAGGGGGCACTGGGATGGACTTGTGTAGACGTTGCAGGTAATGGAGTGATTGGGAATACATTGGCGGATTAGCTATCCCGACTACTGGTTGGTTTGGAACCGTTTGTCCGAAGGAATGAATTATCTCCCCATGTGTCTCGATGAGTTATGCTGTGGTCTTACTTGAATGGGTAGGGTGGCCTCCTGTCAATGGTAGTTGACCTGGTGGAACAACTTCAACTTGTTGTGCAACATGCATTCTTGAGGAACTCTGCTTTGACAGGTAACATCATTAAGGACAATTTGTAAGTCCTTACCTAGCCTACCTAGATACAGTTTAATCTATATCACTGAGAAATTAATAATTGCATATTTATTACATAGTAAACACACTTTGAAATGTTCATATGATTAAAATTGCATAATCAAACAAAAGCTATAGATGCTTGGAATAATGATGAGAAAAAATGCCAATTGCCGGTAAGCATTTTTTAAATAATAAAGTTCAGCCTTTTTAAAACAATCAAAATCTGGACAATGATTTATGATTAGAAATAAATTTATGATTTTAAAAATAATATAATACAGAAACTCGATTACAGAAAACAAAGAAATCCTAATGTTCATAAAAAATATACAGTATATATATATATTGTCACAATAATCAAAAATGTGTCTGTGGAGCCAGGCTTTGCATGCTGGGCATGCTCAAATGTTGCATTTGCATGAACTAAAGCTTCATTACCAATATTTTGTTTTCTCCGAGCTGGATTCGAAGTGTTAGAACCGGAGTTGAAACTAGAATCATCATCGAGGCGAAGTCTTATTTAGGTTTGGAGTTGAACATAAAATTTCTGCGGTTTCACTATAACTGAATTACAATTTGAAACATTCAAATTATGTGCAGCAGTCAAAACAAAATATAAAATAATGAATTATTGAAAGGTCTGGGTACAGAATGAAATGACTTACAATGAGTAAATGATAGAGATAACTGTTATCCACACAAAGCAAGCAAATTTAAACGTGGCATTAAAAGCTTTGTCACAAATCATCAGAAATCAGGGAGTTTTCTATTTTTTAGATTAAAATACAAGTTAATTGCGACACAAATTTTTTTGCAGCAGTCATTGAATTTCCTAAAATATTTTAAATTTTCTCAATTAAATAATATTAACTTTTACTATATATAATGAAATATTGCATATGAAAATAACATGGCTGCCCAAACTTTTATCACTGATTACACATCTATCGAGCAAAGCTACAGCAATAAACAATATGGGAATATGATATTTGGTTGTATTAAGATGAGACTTTGATTTTTGGTTGTATTAATATGGGAAAATGATATTTGGTTGTATTAAGATGGGAATATCATATTTGGTTGTATTAAGATGGAAATAAGTATTTTTGGTTGTATTAAGATGGGAATTGGAATATTTGGTTGTATTAAGATGGGAATATGATTATTGGTTGTATTAAGATGGTAATATGATATTTGGTTGTATTAAGATGGGAGAATGATGTTTGGTTGTATTGAGATGGGAAAATGATGTTTGGTTGTATTAAGTTGGGAATAGGAATATTTGATTGTATTAAGATGGGAATTGGAATATTTGGTTGTATTAAGATGGGAATTGGAATATTTGGTTGTATTAAGATGGGAAAATGATATTTGGCTGTATTAAGATGGGGAAATAATGTTTGGTTGTATTGAGATGGGAAAATGATGTCTGGTTGTATTAAGATGGGAATATGATATTTGGTTGTATTAAGATGGGAAATGGGAATATTTTGTTGTATTAAGATGGGAACATGATATTTGGTTGTATTAAGATGGGAAATGGGAATATTTTGTTGTATTAAGATGGGAACATGATATTTGGTTGTATTAAGATGGAAAATGAGTATTTGGTTGTATTAAGATGGGAAATGGGAATATTTTGTTGTATTAAGATGGGAACATGATATTTGGTTGTATTAAGATGGGAATGGGAATATTTGGTTGTATTAAGATGGGAATATGATATTTGGTTGTATTAAGACGGGAAAATGATATTTGGTTGTATTAAAATGGGAATATGATATTTGGTTGTATTAAGATTGGAATATTATATTTGGTTGTATTAAGATGGGAAATTGGCATTTGGTCGTATTAAGATGGGAAATTGGTATTTGGTTGTATTAAGATTGGAATGGGAATATTTGGTTGTATTAAGATGGGTATTTGATTTTGTATTTAGAGTTTCTGTTGTAGATGCAGGCACAAATTTTTTTTTTGTTATTGATCTTACAGCATTGTTCGGGGTCCTGGCAGAAATGTTGAGTTGAAACGCAAAAATTTCTAAAAGAAAACTGCTATTTAAATTTATTGTCACACCCACTTTAAACGAATTAAGTGAGAAATAAACACGTTTTTATAGCATTGTGTATTTTGCAACAGGATCTTGCTGGCTAGTTCGACTGATAAGACAGTGGACTATTAACTGAACTAAAAGGGAACATCCTTTAGAATTGGCACTTCTCCGCGGGCCGCGTTTGACCCGCGGCTGCAGTTTGCACACCCCTGATCTAAATCATCAAACTAAGCTTTAAATGGGTAGAGGGAGTTCATTACTGGGTGAAGTACCTAACTGGTAAGTGGATTGAAACAGGTTGTAAATTGTCCAAGTGTTTGTTCATATTAAAAGCTTACATATCCAGAATCAAGGTTCTGAGCCATTGTTCCAAACAAACTTGAGGTGTGGATCACTGGATTGTCAAATCTTCTTCAATACACAAGACTTCAACCAGTCCTGTCTTTGTGGATTACTGACAACCTAGCTACAGTTTAATCTATATATCTGAGAAATTAATAATTGCATATTTATTATACAGTAAACACACCATTGCATTGAAATATTTAGAACATTAAGGAAAATAAAATAGAATAATCAAACAAAAACTATAGATGCTTGAAATAACAATGCTAAAAATCAAAATAAAATGCAGTTTTTTAAATCATAAATTGCAGCCATTTTAAAGCATTTAAATTTTTATAAAATCTGACATGAACAATGATTTAGTAGAATTTCAATTTAGAACATTTAAAATAATAATATATATAGGGATTCCTCGGGTTACGACGGTCGCGACTTACGCTGTTTCGAGGTTACGAACCATTACACCTCAATGTTACGAACGCACTCCATGAAAATATAAAAGATAATACTGTACTCTAATATCTAAGCCCTTAAACTGGATCATTGTGATCAAGAAAATGTTTTCTAATAAAGTTTTTTTTTTGCATTATTTGTATATTTTATTACAGTACCATACTTTACAATACAGTACGATATGTATAGTTATTATAGTTATTTATGTATTGTTTAGTATAATGTTCCGACTTACACTGAAATTCGGGTTACACCGAGTCTAAGGAACGGAACTGCGTCGTAAGTCGAGGACTCCCTGTATATATATATATAGGTATAAAGATTAAATGATACGGTTCCATTACATTTGAACCAACGTACATTTGAACCACGTACATCTGAACCCACGACAATTGCACCTGAATACTAATGCACCTATGGAATTATTTTTTGTTTTGCGGATATTTGAACCCATACTAACCCTAACCCATGGGTTTAGCACTCGCATATAGATTGAACCCGCGGATATACGCATGGGTTCAAATGTATGTGGGTTCAAATGTACGGTCTTTGAACCAGAATGAGTTTTTTATGGATATGACACAATAGGGAGTTATAGCAGTCAGTAAATACAAGAGACAAGTATATTTTACACTGATTACTTATTTATAGAGCATAGCTACAGCAATAAACCCAGTCCACCTCAGACAAATCCATTTCACAGACTATTTTCCATTCACCAGTTTCTTCATTGAATGTTTCAATAGAATCCTTATTCAGGCCTCCACCTTCAGCACCACCGACTGCATACATTTTATTATCAACAACACATGCACTAAAATTAATTCTATTCATCTTCATTTTTGCAATCTCTGTCCATGAGCGAACAACAGGGTTATAACATTGAACAAGACCTCCAGCAGAACCTCCCAGTACATAAACCATACTTTGAAAAACAACCGCTGCACAACCATATGTTCCATAAATCATCTGTGGCAGGGAAGACCATTTCTTTGTTCCAGGATCGTATACTTTTGATTTTCTCCATGTTGACCAACCTCCCATCGCATATATAAACTCATCAGAGGCAGCAGCACAAAAACCAAAATCAAGATCACATGAAGGCAAATTCTTATCCCATCTGTCTTTGGCAATGTCATATCGCACTGTATGCTGAGAATAGTTGAAAATATAAATCCCGCCCTTGAGATAAACCATCTTATCCCACTGATCACTCTTCCTTTCAATCTTGGCTTTCTTAATCCATCGACCTTCTTGCAGCGAAGACAATTGATTCCCATCTGAAGCATACAATCGACCCTCAACATTGACAAGATGAATGCCAACATCATAATCAGACTTCAAACTGGACCATTGATTTGTTTGGAGATTCAGAGCCTTTATACCCGTCTCTGTCGAGACAGCAATCTGTGGAACCAGTTTAGCTACAGTGGCTCTGGCATAGACAACATCAAGCAATAAATCTTTGCACTTGTGCGACTCTTTAACCAAAGATTCATTTCTGACGCTTTGTTGAATAAAATCATCAGAAAATTCCTCAAGTTTTATCAACTCGAACAAGTCAGGAAAAATTTTCTGATGACGACGACTTTGTTTGGCCCATTTCAGTGCAGCTTCCCATTTAATTTTCTCTGAAGAATATTTTGTTTCCTGAGATTTGAACAAGAAAAAAATTTCATCTTTTTCCAATTCGATAAATTCATCCATCGGTACAATCTGTTCAAAATTCTGAGCCATAAATTCATTGATTATATTTTTGACATTCTCCGAGCAAACTTTGTTTTCGATCCGATTAATCTTCCTCAAAATGAATGAAGTGTCGAGCGACAAATTCTCTTTCAATCCATCGATATTCGAAAGTAATTTTTTAATGACAAAACTTTTCGCATCTGAAGAACTTTCGACCAAAGAATCATTTAGCAGATCAGTGAGTAAAAATTTAAAAGGAAAATCTTCAAAATGCAGAGTCTCCATTAGTTCTGATCCAATCTTTTCACCTTTGTTTGAAATCCATCTTTTCACAGCATGCCAAACTACTTCATGCTTTTTATCCAACTTTTGTAGATAAAATACGAGTTCTTCTTTGCTCAGATGTAGAAAATCTTCACCCAAAATCAGAGACTCAAAATTATCCACAATGAATAGTTCAGCAATGGTTTGTAACTCTGTGCAAACATAAAGTCTTGCCAACCTGACCACTAGGAGACAATGGTGCACTGACAGATTTTTTTCCATGAAATTAAAGCATATACTTGATAATACATCAAGCTGCATAAACTGAGAAGCATACAAAGTATTTTCAACAGATTCCATGGATGGATTTGCTTCACCAGTATACATGAAATCTACACACTGCCCTACAGCATCAGCACAGATGTCTTTCATAACGACAAAACCATTCCGAGCCTCAACCATGTTACTTGAAAACATGCTTTTGAAGTACTTTGATACTGCGGCAAGCAGGTCTCGATGGACTTTGAAAGATTTGTCACCAACTTTGATTGTGAAGTTACAAATGCAGTCAGATTGTTTTAGTTCATTGAATGATGTAAGTACATTCAATGAGTGGGTAATTTTTGCAGATTTTTTGAATTCATCCATATTCTGTATCTTGGAAGTGATTCACAAATGACAAGGCTTTAATAATAATATAGATGACAGCAAGATGATTACCTAACTAGATTCTGTGGTATTTGTATATTAGGTAAATATTTGTAGTATTGGAGAATTTCAAATTTGCAATACAATATAAAGAGAGGAGAGATAGAAACAATATTCAAGGTTTCAAAAAGGTCAAATCCTAATTTGTTATATAGATGTCCTGGTGCAGTGATTTTCAAACATCCAATCGCCATGAGATTGCGATTTTGGGATTAATATGAAAATCCTATCATGTACACTGCAACCTACTTTCTCAAGTAGGTTGTTATTTCGTATAGATAACAGACATTTCAATGCGTCTCTTTCATTAGAGACAAAGCTGACTATTCAGTAAGGGGCAAACTTGGTTTCCTGTCAGTAAGTTCAGTAGTGCATCATGCACTCAGTAGTAGAATAGACTCATTTCAGAGCAAGGTGACCGTTGGAATTGGTGGCTGAAACGCCAAGAGCTACAAAAACTATTTAGAATTTTGAAATTCCATTCAGTAGGAGACTCATCTCTGTACAGCGTTACGAAAACCACTAAAATACCAAGAGCAACTGATTCTATTCAGAATTCAAAGCGATTGATGGTGAATTACGCGTCCTCACTCAGAAGTGAAAAAGTCTCATCTCAGAGCACAGTTACGAACAATCATCTAAACTTTAAAACCTACTGGGGAGATTCAAAATGTTGGTGGTGCAATATACGTATTTACACAATAGTGAAGGAAACTCACCTTAAGTTAAGTCACAGGCGAACACTGAAATGCAGGGAGCTACTTGGACTATTTGAAAGTATGGTGGTGCAATATGTGCACTCAATCAGTGGTGAAGAACACTCATCTCTGAAAAATGTAATGGGTGCCATCAGACTATTTGTGCAGTTGAATTTCCAGTCTTGCACACTTGCAACATTATTCTTTCAAATCATGGCTCCCGACTCATATTTTCTAACGTCTAGCTAGAATGCTTATGTATTATGTGTACCAGATTAAGGTTAGGCGAAAATTTTCTTCCAATTTTTCCAATCTTAGTTCCATGGACTGGCCAATTGACTCTTGTAGTATTTGTTCCTGAAATTATGGTCTAACTCTAACCTGGTACACATACTACTTTCCGGTCTCTGCCATCTTGGTACGCATATTTCAGGAGTACCAAAAATTTTGTGCCCGAACTACAAGAAAGCTTAATGGTGAAGCGGCTCGCGGTTCACTCAGTTATCTGTATCTGCCCCCGAAATATTCATGCGCAATAAATCAAATATTTGCTCAGTGTAACATTTTATTAGAGGGAACACTAATGGGCGACCCCTGAAATATCATAAGCTTGAATACTTGATCGCATATAATTCTTTTTCCAAATCACACTATCATTATTTTGCTTGCCGAATGCCTTCTTCTTTGCTTGTGATTGTTGAGACTTTTTCGATTTAGTGAAATTATAACATAATATATAGGCCTATCACTACTTATCCAGAATTTATTAATTCCACTCAGCAAGCAAAAACACGTGATTTAGATGGTAGGTATTCAGATACCGCAGTCCGCAAGTATATATCTTTCCCAACCCTGGACATAGCGTAAATTCTACTTCTATAAATATTCCACATTTGACATTAATGTAGAACAGGGCTGGGCAACCCCTGGCACGCGAGCTCATTTATTCGGCACGCGAGCGAAGCCTCGGAAACGAGATCATTCTCCTTCAGATAAAAAGTTTCAAGAATTATCTGATGAAACTCGGTGTTCGTTTATTCATTATCGTTTGTTAACAATCCGTTTTTTAACCCTTTTTGTCCTTTCATGACATATAGCTACAAACAAATATATTATGACGTAACAAATGAGTGATCTCTCGAGAAATTTTGTCGAAAAGGGTGCAACATTCATTTGGCTACATTCTTACGTAATATAGTTTGTCTGCATCACCATTTTTCTTCATTTCTGCCTTATTTATGAAGTTGTACAGCTCATGTGGTTAGTGTCACTTGCCAACTTACTGTTATAAATTTATTTCGAAAGTAATATAAGCGATTAGGAGAATGAATACAAGAGAGTGCAGAAAACGAACTATTGCGTGATTGGGATGTCATTCCCGAAACCTAAAAACTTTGCAACTGCATTACTTTCCATGTTTCCATTTACATATGCTTGTATATCTCTGTTCTCAGTTATAAAGTTTGTCAAGTCTAGTAGCAGTAGTAGCCCGAAAGATGGAACCAGTAATTCGTGTATTCCTCTGAAGGTTACAAAATATAAACCCAATGTAAAATCTCTATCAGCGGGGATTCAGCAGCAGAAGTCTCACTGATATAAAATAAGAAAAGTAATCAAGTCTATTTACGGACTGATATTTTCCTGAATAGTGAAGTCCGTACATGATTAAAAGGTTTATTATTGTGTATTTTTGCTTTGAAAGTAGCAATGAATTGTTTTTAATTTTGGTCGGTACGTGGTAGAATTTTGTCGTCAAATTAAGCCGATTTCGACACGCGAGCCAAAAAAGGTTGCCCACCTCTGATGTAGAACATATACCAGTATCTAACTGCTTAGTCCACTTGTCGGTAATAAATCTCCATTCACTCATAAATTTGAGATTTATAACATTCAGTATAAACAAGGCAATACAAGCTTAGAATATACATTTCTAGTGGGCGTGTCGTGCCAATTTTTGCATATATCATTATTGACCCTCACCTGACTACGTCATCCAAAAATTGCGTCACTAGGACGTCACAATCACGAAATAGAGCTTGCCAAAATATAATTGTTCATCATATCAATTTAGGAAACAAAAAACTAAATAAATTTCAGACAAGAATCCTAATATATTAACCAACAAATAAAAATCCCCAAGGCTGATCTAAATTTTCTAAATTTAAAACTATTCATCAGGGCCCAGGTACAACTATACAAACATATGTATCTGGGATAATAAACTGAATAATATATTGTAATTCAGAATAACAAACTTCCGACCTGGACTACAAGACTATGAGATGGAGCCGCTTTATAGGCCTTTCCCTCCCCATTGCTAAATATATTAAAACCTCATCCTTCGTCTGTCAATACGGCGGCTACTCTTATCGACACAACGTCGGAACATAAAGAACCTCAAATTTCGAAATAGATTTATTTACTTTGTCAGCCTGGGACAAAGGTGAACATAATGGAAAAGTACTAGCGGTGCTATTACAACAACGCAGGGGGTGTGTGGGGGGCTGTGGTCCGAATAAACAACACCTTTATAATTTCAAGGAATTCATCGGTAGTTGCTTGCGGGGCAGTGAACGTTACATAATGTTGCGTAATTGAAATTAATTTGCAATTACAGACTTCAATGGTGACTCTTGACACAGAATAATTTTTTTTTTCTATATTACACTTAATTTACAAAATGTCACCTTTTTAATAAAGTTTAATTTGTCTTGATTCCTGTACAAGCAATTTTTGTGACAAATTAACTGAAAGTTTAATTTCGCTGTAATTGGGCTGAAATAGTCAAACACGGTTAATGTATGCCCGTTATTGTTACATAATTGTTTGTATTTCCACTGCTCCCTCGTGCATAACAGAGGCGTATCGAAGTGTTCCATCCAGCTCCCCTATGCCTGTATGAATTACGTCTATAGTTTTTCTGGATAAATTTGCGATGAAATTTTGATGAAAATCACCAATCGTCGGCTAAAATATATTTAACATCTGCACCTGGATATAAGGTGCCTTTCCCATTACTAAATATATAAAAACCTCATCCTTCATTTGACAATACGGCGACTATTCTTATCGACAAAACGTCTGAACATAAAGAACCTCAAATTACGAAATAGTTTAATTTACTTTGTCAGCCCGGGACAAAGGTGAACATAATGGAAAAGTACTAGCGATGCTATTCCGACAACTCAGGGGGTTTGTTGGAGGCTGTGGTTCGTATAAACAACACCTTTAGAATTTAGAGGTAATCCATGGACACTTATTTTCGGGTCAATAAACGATACATAATGTTGTGCAATTTAAATTTATTTACAATTACAAATTTCAATGGCGACTCGTAACACAGAATGATTTGTTTTTTCATATTACACTAGATTTACAAAATTTCATCTAAACGATTTAATTAATAAAGTTTAATTCGTCTTAATTCTCGTATAAGCAATTTTTGTGACAAATCCGATAAAGTTTAATTTCGCTAAAATTGGGCTAAAATATTCAAACAGGGTTAATATATGTCCGTGATTGTTACTTAATTGTTAGTATTTCCACGGCTCCTGCGTGCATAACACAGGCGTATATTTTAACAATGCTCACAAGCTTAAAGCCGGATCAGTGAGTATATACATCATCGTGTTTTCGTTTATATTTGTATATTATAACAATGATCACAAACATAAAACCCGATTAGTGAGTTCATATATCATCGTGTTTTTCATTGATATTTGTATATTTTCGTATTCATCACAAACTTAAAAATCAGCGATTGCAATTCAGTCGCATATGTAGGAAATTTTCCGCGTTCTGGTCATTTTTCATCTATGGCAGGGGTGTGAATCCCGCGGGCAAAATGTGGTCAAATGGGAAAATTCTGCGGCTTACATGAAAGAGCCAAATTTAAACGGTATGCGGCCCGCGAAACGAGTTTTTAATTTATTTCAATCTCGTACGTGCGAGTAATTCCAATCCCGTCGCAAAGCCTAAGCCTGAGCTTGTGCAGAGCCAAAGCCTGCATCTATTCGAAAGCCCATGTTAAATAATGGTGCGGCCCACGGTTCCACTCTGTTATTTGTATTTGCCTGTATTAAAGATTGTGCACCCCTTTTCTATGGGATACAGTGTTTGGGAGTATCGAGTTATTGACTCGACTCGAGTTACCAGTTATCAAAGACTAGAAGGGACTCGAGTCATCTGAATAAAATGACTCGGACTTCGTCTCTATCAATCGACATTGAGACTTAATTCAGCGATTGCCACGACTTGATAGGCAATTCAAGGTTTCGGGAAGGTTTAAGTTCGACTCGAGTCATCGCATCATCAACTAACTGTCAGTGAAAATTAACCCAATGATTGAGTCTTGACTTGGAGTTTAGTTAGTTGCTTCTATTCAACACAGGTGGAATGTTTGTACATTATTGATATATAAAATAACTATTTTATAGTTATCCTTAGGGAGAGAGACCAGTTTAATCATGCAACGATACACTCTAGTTTGCATTTTGGATACACTGACATAAGACTTCTGTTGTCCGGGGAGTTGCTGATAATGATATTCCTTATAACTAACCAAAAAAATAATTTAGGGAGTTAACAAATTATAGATGCTGTTATACATGGGACTAAATAATTTAAAAGTAAAGTAGGAATGAAATATTTGTAGTATCATTTAAATTATCAAACTAAGCACCCTATAACGTTTTACCCGCGCCGGTTGCCTTTATGTCTTTCCTCTAGACACGCTCAATCCGGAGTGATAGCCAATGAGAGTTTATTACTCATCGATCTCGATCGGTAAGTATATTGATGGGTATTTGTCTGTTTGTTCGTTTGTCTGTTAGACAATTTCGTATGTTACGAGATATCTCACGAAAGCGAGGTTGAATCTGCTCCAATTTTTGCATATGTATTCATCATATCTCGGGCCAGAAACCCATTGATTAGATGAATTATGTCGTATACCTAGCAAGTTATTAATTATTTAGTGATTGGACACGCGGTGTCGCTATTGAGTCAGAGCGAAGGAATCGAAACCGCAGTTTCTGCTTTGGGGGATCCCCTAACTATGGCAGGGACATTTATTACGGGAGTACCAATTATTCTGTCTGTTGGCTTTTCTTCTAATCGGGTATGATATAAACTGTCTTATAATTTCACTTATTCTCGGTAAATAGGGAAATTCTATCCTGTATTTAGGAACAAACATCGAAATATTGAGATAAATATGGCTCCAGATGTAGAATATTAAATCCCCCTATCGTTCTGAACAAAGTTGAGTTTGGGTCACTGGATTGTAAACTTTTCTTCAATACACAAGACCGGACCAGTCCTGCCTTTGGGGAGAGATTGTTTGCAATATAGCTACAGTTTAAACTATATCTGAGAAATGAATAATTGCATATTTATTAGATGGTAAACACACTTTGAAACATCAATATAATTAAAATTGCATAACCAAACAACAATTATAGATGCTTGAAATAAGGGATGCAAAAAAAAACAAAAATAATACAGTTTTTCAAATCATAAAATTCAGCCTTTTTCGAGCAATCAAAATTTTTATAAAATCTGACATGAACAATGATTTATGATTAGAAATTTGAAATATTGAATATACATATATAGGTTTGAACAAAAAATACAGATGCTGGATTACAGAAAACAAAGAATGAAGAAAAATCCTTTAATCTGTATATTTAATGTTTCTAATATATATACAAGTATATATATGTATAGGCACAATGTGTGTCTGTGCAGCCAGACTTTTGTATGTTGGACATGCTCACGTGTTGTATTTACATAGGTTTTAGTTTATATTGTATATATTAAGCTGGAGTTGGAGTTGAAATATTCCTCAAGTCGGTAACAGAGGTTCAAATTTGCCTAATCTCAGAGCCAGACCTTTGAAATGTTTTTTCAAGGTTGGAGTCTAATGTAACATCACTGCAATTTCACCCAATAGAATTACAACTTGAAACATTCAAATTATATATACATATATATATAAAAAACTTACTTGGATTTATAGTGATTCCCTTCTTATACCAAGTAAATTTAGCCTCATAAATCATTTTCACAAGAAGTGAGTTTTAGATTTTTAGATCAAAATACAAAAATAGTTTATTTTGACACAAATTTGTCACAGCCGTCATTAAATTTCATAAAAAGATTTTCAAATTCTCTCAATTAAGTAATATTAACTTTTACTGTATATAATCAAATATTGCAAATAAAGAGAAAGTTAAAGAAAAAATAATATGGCTGCTCGTAAGCTTATGGGCTTCACTCTACAATTCCATGGCAATGAGGTTCGAAACCGATGTAATTAAACTCATGCCCAACACTTCTACCAAATTGTGTTAGACAGGGTGACAAATGTTACAGCTACTGCTCACCTTTAGATAGATTGCTTGTTGGTAATATTTAGAGTTTAATTTTTTATCCCGGGGGAGAGAAAAGGTATTAAGACGGCTTTAGCATATGGCAAATCATAGTCTCTCGTCTGGCATGTAGATTTAACGAATTAAAAAAATGAACTATAGAACGGATGAAACGAGAAATTATCGTGATTGATACAGCTAGAATATTCGGACATCTATCTGGGAAGGATTATTGAAGTTGAATCACCACCAATGACCGAAAAGAAAAGTTAATAAGAGTTAGTACCAGATTCTACGGCTCACCTATGAAATAGGGATTACATTTTTATCCTGGGGGAGAAGAAAGCCAATGAGACGGCTTAATCATTGGGCAAACTACGGCCATATACCAAATCTCGTCTGGCATGTGGATTTAATGAATTGAAAACATGAACTATAGAATGGATGAAATGAGAAATTATTGTGAGTGACACAGCTAGAATATTCGAACATCTATCATTGAAGATAAATCAACACCAGGCAATGACCCAATAGTTAATACAGTCAGTATTTACATAAAGCAAGAATATTTCCTCGTCATCAACTTTTATCATTCATTGAACATCTATCGAGCAAAGCTACAGCAATGAACCCAATCTAACTTAGGTCGATCCATTTCACAGACTATTTCCCATTCACCAGTTTGCTCACTGAATGTTTCAATAGAATCCTTAGTCAGGCCTTTAACTTCAGCCCCACCCACTGCATACATTTTATTGTCAACAACACATGCACTGGAATAACTTCTATTCATCTTCATTTTTACAATTTCTGTCCATGCGCGTACAACAGGGTTATAGCATTGAACAAGGTTGTGAAAGTGCTCCCCATCAATACCCCCCAGTAAATAAACCATACTTTGAAAAACGGCTGCTGCTCCACCTGCTGTTCCATAAATCATCTGTGGCAGGGAAGACCATTTGTTTGTTCCAGGATCGTATACTTTTGCTTCTCTCCATGTTGACCCACCTCCCATCGCATATATAAACCCATCAGAGGCAGCAACATGAAAACCTGGACCAAGACAACATAAAGGCAAAGTCTTATCCCATCTGTCTTTGGCGATGTCATATTGCACTGTATGCTGATCACAGTTCATAATATAAATCCTACCCTTAAGATAAATCATCTTATCCCAGTCATCTTTCTTCCTTTCAATCTTGGACTTCTTAATCCATCGACCATTTTGTAGCAAAGACAATTCACACCCGTCTGAAGCATACAATCGTCCCTCAACATTGACAAGATGAACGCCAACATCATAATTCGACTGCAAACTAGACCATTGATTTGTTTGGAGATTCAGAGTCTTTATACCAGTATCTGATGAGACAGCAATATGTGGAACATATTTTTTAACCTCAGCTCTGGCACAGAGAACATCAAGCAATAAATCTTTACACTTATGTGACTCTTCAACTAAAGGTTCATTTCTGACCGTTTGCCGAATAAAATCCCCAGAAAAATCCTGAAGTTTAATCAGCTCAAACAAGTCTGGAAATAATTTCTGATGACGACGAATTTGTTTGGCCCATTTCAATGCAGCTTCCCATTTAATTTTCTCTGAAGAATATTTTGTTTCCAGAGATTTGAACAAGAAAAAAATTTCATCTTTTTCCAACTCGATAAATTCATCCATCAGTACAATCTGTTCAAAATTCTGAGCCATAAATTTATTGATTATATTTTTGACATTCTCTGAGCAAACTTTGTTTTCAATCCGATTAATCTTCCTCAAAATAAATAAAGTGTCGAGAGACAAATTTTCTTTCAACCCATCGATATTCGAAAGCAATATTTTGACGACAAAACTTTTCGCATCTGAAGAACTTTTGACCAAAGAATCAGTTAGCAGATCTGTGAGCAAAAACTTATAGGGAAACTCTCCAAAATGCAAAGTCTCCATCAATTCTGATCCAATCTTTTCACCTTTGTTTGAAATCCATCTTCTCACACCATGCCAAACTACTTCATGCTTTTTATCCAACTTTTGTAGATAAAATACGAGTTCTTCTTTGCTCAGATGTAGAAAATCTTCACCCAAAATCAGAGATTCAAAATTATCCACAATAAATCGCTCAGCAATGGTTTCTAGCTCTGTTCGATCATAAAGCCTTGCCAACCTGCCCACTAGAAGGCAATGCTGCACTGACAGATTATTTTCCATGAAATTAAAGCATATACTCGATAATACATCAAGCTGCATTAAGTGGGAAGCATACAAAGTATTTTCAACAGATTCCATGGATGGATTTGCTTCACCAGTATACATGAAATCTACACACTGCCCTACAGCATCAGCACAGATGTCTTTCATAATAACAAAACCATTCCGAGCCTCAACCATGTTACTTGAAAACATGCCTTTGAAGTACTTTGATACTGCGCCAAGCAGATCTCGATGGACTTTGAAAGATTTGTCACCAACTTGGATTGTAAAGTTACAAATGCAGTCAGATTGTTTTAGTTCATTGAATGATGTAAGTACATTCAATGAGTGGGTAATCTTTGCAGATTTTTTGAATTCATCCATATTCTGTATCTTGGAAGTGATTCCCAAATGACAAGGCTTTAATAATAATATAGATGACAGCAAGATGATTACCTAACTAGATTCTGTGGTATTTGTATATTAGGTAAATATTTGTAGTATTGGAGAATTTCAAATTTGCAATACAATATAAAGAGAGGAGAGATAGAAACAAGATTCAAGGTTACAAAAAGGTCAAATCCTAATTTGTTATATAGATGTCCTGGTGCAGTGATTTTCAAACATCCAATCGCCATGAGATTGCGATTTTGGGATTAATATGGAAATCCTATCATGTACACTGCAACCTACTTTCTCAAGTAGGTTGTTATTTCGTATAGATAACAGACATTTCAATGCGTCTCTTTCATTAGAGACAAAGCTGACTATTCAGTAAGGGGTAAACTTGGTTTCCTGTTAGTAAGTTCAGTAGTGCATCATGCACTCAGTAGTAGAATAGACTCATTTCAGAGCAAGGTGACCGTTGGCATTGGTGGCTGAAACGCTAAGAGCTACAAAAACTATTTAGAATTTTGAAATTCCATTCAGTAGGAGACTCATCTCTGTACAGCGTTACGAAAACCACTAAAATACCAAGAGCAACTGATTCTATTCAGAATTCAAAGCGATTGATGGTGAATTACGCGTCCTCACTCAGAAGTGAAAAAGTCTCATCTCAGAGCACAGTTACGAACAATCATCTAAACTTCAAAACCTACTGGGGGGATTTAAAATGTTGGTGGTGCAATATACGTATTTACACAATAGTGAAGGAAACTCACCTTAAGTTAAGTCACAGGCGACCACTGAAATGCAGGGAGCTACTTGGAGACTATTTGAAAGTATGGTGGTGCATTATGTGCACTCAATCAGAAGTGAAGAACACTCATCTCTGAAAAATGTAATGGGTGCCATCAGACTATTTGTGCAGTTGAATTTCCAGTCTTGCACACTTGCAACATTATTCTTTCAAACCATGGCTCCCGACTCATATTTTCTAACGTCTAGCTAGAATGCTCGTTCTACGTTTCATATCTACTGCTTGCTACTGTTCATTGTGATGTCACATACCAAGTGACTTGAATTCTGGAAATGCATTTGGAAAGGGCTAGTTTTAGACGAGCCTACAATGCCAGCCCATAGTACGTGAATCATTTAAGACACTCTGTTATTTGTATCTGCCCCTAAAATATTCATGCGCAATAAATCAAATATTTGCTCAGTGTAACATTTTATTAGAGGGAACACTAATGGGCGACCCCTGAAATATCATAAGCTTGAATACTTGATCGCATATAATTCTTTTTCCAAATCACACTATCATTATTTTGCTTGCTGAATGCCTTCTTCTTTGCTTGTGATTGTTGAGACTTTTTTGATTTAGTGAAATTATAACATAATATATAGGCCTATCACTACTTATCCAGAATTTATTAATTCCACTCAGCAAGCAAAAACACGTGATTTAGATGGTAGGTATCCAGATACCGCAGTCCGCAGGTAGTCTTTCCCAACCCTGGACATAGCGTAAATTCTACTTCTATAAATATTCCACATTTGACATTAATGTAGAACAGGGGTGGGCAACCCCTGGCACGCGAGCTCATTTATTCGGCACGCGAGCGAAGCCTCGGAAACGAGATCATTCTACTTTAGATAAAAAGTTTCAAGAATTATCTGATGAAACTCGGTGTTCGTTTATTCATTATCGTTTGTTAACAATCCGTTTTTTAACCCTTTTTGTCCTTTCATGACATATAGCTACAAACAAATATATTATGACGTAACAAATGAGTGATCTCTCGAGAAATTTTGTCGAAAAGTGTGCAACATTCATTTGGCTACATTCTTACGTAATATAGTTTGTCTGCATCACCATTTTTCTTCACTTCTGCCTTATTTATGAAGTTGTACAGCTCATGTGGTTAGTGTCACTTGCCAATTTACTGTTATAAATTTATTTCGAAAGTAATATAAGCGATTAGGAAAATGAATACAAGAGAGTGCAGAAAACGAACTATTGCGTGATTGGGATGTCATTCCCGAAACTTAAAAACTTTGCAACTGCATTACTTTCCATGTTTCCATTGATTTACATATGCTTGTATATCTCTGTTCTCGGTTATAAAGTTTATCAAGTCTAGTAACAGTAGTAGCCCGAAAGATAGAACCAGTAGTTCGTGTATTCCTCTGAAGGTTACAAAATATAAACCCAATGTAAAATCTCTATCAGCGGGGATTCAGCAGTAGAAGTCTCACTGATATAAAATAAGAAAAGTTATCAAGTCTATTTACGGACTGATATTTTCCTGAATAGTGAAGTCCGTACATGTTTAAAAGGTTTATTATTGTGTATTTTTGCTTTGAAAGTAGCAATGAATTGTTTTTAATTTTGGTCGGAACGTGGTAGAATTTTGTCGTCAAATTAGGCCGATTTCGGCACGCGAGCCGAAAAAGGTTGCCCACCTCTGATGTAGAACATATACCAGTATCTAACTGCTCAGTCCACTTGTCGGTAATAAATCTCCATTCACTCATACATTTGAGATTTATAACATTCAGTATAAACAAGGCAATACAAGCATAGAATATACATTTCTAGTTGGCGTGTCGTACCAATTTTTGCATATATCATTATTGACCCCCACCTGAATACGTCATCCAAAAATTGCGTCACTAGGACGTCACAATCACGAAATAGAGCTTGCCAAAATATAATTGTTCATCATATCAATTTAGGAAACAAAAAACTAAATAAATTTCAGACAAGAATCCTAATATATGAACCAACAAATATAAATCCCTAAGGCTGATCTAAATTTTCTAAATTTAAAACTATTCATAAGGGCTCAGGTACAACGATACAAACATATGTATCTGGAATAATAAACTGAATAATATTTTGTAATTCAGAACAACGAACTTCCGACCTGGACTACAAGACTATGAGATGGAGCGTTTTATAGGCCTTTCCCTCCCCATTGCTAAATATATAAATACCTCGTCCTTCGTGTGTCAATACAGCGACTATTCTTATCGACAAAATGTCTGAACATGAAGAACCTCAAATTGCGAAATAGATTTATTTACTTTGTCAGCCTGGGACAAAGGTGAACATAATGGAAAAGTACTAGCGATGCTATTTCGATAACGCAGGGGGTGTGTAGGGGGCTGTGGTCCGAACAAACAACCTTTTTATGATATCGAGTTAATTCATCGGTACTTGATTGCGGGGCAGTGAACGATACGTAATGTTGCGTCATTTAAATTAATTTACAATTACACACTTCATTGGCGACTTTGTAACACAGAGGGATCTGTTTTTTCATATTACACTTAATTTACAAAATTTCGCCTAATTTTTTAAAAAAAATTTTATTTGTCTTGATTCTTGTAAGCAATTTTCGTGACAAATCAGCTAAAAGTTTAATTTCGATGTAATTGGGCTAAAATAGGGAATAATATATGTCCGTGTTTTTTGTTTAATTGTTTGTATTTCCACTGCTCCTGCGTGCATAATACATGCGTATATTTTAACAATGCTCACAAACTCAAAGTCAGATTAGTGAATGTTTATATATCATCGTGTTTTTCATTTATATTTGTATACTATCGCAATGATCATAAACTTAAAACCCGATAGTGAGTATCTCATCGTGCTTTTGCTTATATTAAATATTACAGGGTGAGATTTCTCATGTTGTACTTTTATGTGTGGTGTTTTTAAACCTTATTAAAGTTTTGTACAATTCTCATGCATTTCAGTACTAGGTGTCGTCGTTTATCATGGCGGACTTGAAAATAAATTATCATCTATATATCAAAACCATTTGATATACAAAACGTCGCCTAAATTCTTTAAATCGTTAGATATCAGTGACTGCTTGTACAGGGCCTTGTTCGGAGTGAAAAGCGCGATCAAGCGTCGTATAGTGAGAAGTTTAATCTGGTCTGATTCTTTCTAATAGCGATTTTATTCTGACAAATGAACTATAGCAGTTTTCCCCGTGCCATTCAATAATTATCTATAGAATGCAGTGTTGAGGAGTTTCGTGGAAACATACCTTCACCCTGACAAAGTTACTCGAGTTATCTCGTAAACAACCAACCGCCGATGACTCTTTTAGTGGTTGAGCGACTGGATACTAGAATGCACCGGGACTTGGGGTTTAAGTGCTTTTACCGAACACAGGTGGAACGTTTGCGCGTGATTAATACACATGATATGTTAAACACGTAATTTGGCGCTCAAGAAGTATGTGCACCAAGATGTCGCATATCCCGAAGCCCTAACCTGGTACTAGGGTTGCCAACCGTCCTTTATTTCAAAGGACAATCATTTAATTAAGCTTTCAGGTCCTTGTCTATTTTAGTATTCAGAAAAGATACTAGTTGTCCTTTATTCTTTCCAATGTCGTTTTGCCCATAGTTATAGTACTGTTTTTGATATTGTTCAGTTCTCAGAAAATCGCCTCCGTTTAAGTATTTGCAAGCTTTTAATTATTCTTTTTAATTTCGCCTTGGTCCGGCTCAGATAGTCAAAGATATCATACATATGAAAAAAAAACAGGGCTGTCGACTGTCGAGTCCTATTTTCAAACTTTTCAGAGTCAGAATTTCAGATTCTAATGGTGAAAATCAAAATTTACAACCTAACTAAAAAAAACATCTCAGCATTTCCAACACAATATTCAAAGAACCTTTCTCAAGGAATTTTTCCAACTTTTTGCCGTCTAAGAGCAAGGTGTCAGGGCTATCGCCAGTACATCGCCAGTACATGTTAATTTGCCCAACGACTCTGTACGGTTTTGCCCACCGAATTATATTACACTAAGAGTGAGGATGGATATGAGCCTGAGGTTTCACCCGCTGATACAATACAAAAATGGTTAAGTAGAGTGTTTCAGCTACTCGGTCACTAACCCAACAGATTTACTTTTCATTTTAACTCTTCCTTCCCCAGATTTTCATATATAGGCTGTCTTATCAATTTTCCTCTCTCCGATATCATATATTGTGGATCAACTGTGTAAATATTAAGTCTTCAGGCGTATTATATCGAATCGTCGCATACCGAGCCATCGGTTTTAAACAAACTTGAGTGTGGGTCACTAGATAATCAAATCTATTTCAATACTCCAACAAGTCCTGTCTTTGTGAACAGATCACTGGCAACATAGCTACGGTTTAATCTATATATCGGAAAAATATTAATTATATTTACATTCGATAACAAATTCACACGATTAAATCAGTTATTCTGCCACCAAAATAAATAAACAGCTATGTATTGATGAAAATATATTTCTGTAGTGCAAATGTCAGAAATACAATCTTGAAGTGTTCTGAGAATCCAAAAAAAGATAATATAAAAAGTAAGTATAGTATTAAGTGCAGATTAAAAATGAAATATGTAAGAAAACGAGAATATCCAGGACTTTGCACAACTTACTATTACAGTGAAACGTGGGCAATAAAAGCCCTGAGAATAATGTGAAGATAGCTACAAAACCAGTTCGATAAAACTTAAGCCTATTACAAATTGTAATTATAGAGTTATGAAGATTCACAGCTTGCCCGAACAGTGCACAATAAAATTGAAAACTAGAAAAACAGCAATATATCAAATATATATATCAAAGCTAATATACGAGAACTGTAATTAGCGATTAAAGAAAGTGACTCACAAAAGCATTCAAAACAAAATTCAACTTCTCACAATTGTTTCATTTTTAGCATTACCTATTTTTCAGCGTGGAAAAAACTTTTCATCATTCTTTCCTACAGAATACACAATTGGACGAACTATGACATTACAAATAGAGTATTATGGAGATAACATGAAATTGAACAGTATAATAAATGAATACAAAATAATAAAATATCTCACAAAAACTGAAATTTAGTATTCCATATTAGTTGCAGAATATGAGTGACATGAATCATAAAAAATTCAATAAATGACAATGCAAATACGCATGTATAATATATAAAATAAGTGGTCAAATTTAACCTTAAAAGTGAAAACTTGATAACAAATGAAAATCCAACATTTTGTTCATTAAGGGTTTGTTACAGTTATATTATTGCCAATGACTTAATGAGATGATCTTTATCTAGAACTACAGTTATTTAGTTAATGCGTTCCATCAATCACTTACTGAACCGTGGAATATTGAGTAAACTATAACACAATAGGGTTGTGGAATAATTAGTGAAGCTAAAATAGTCATAGTCAGATTTATTTTTTCCATCCAGTAAAACCTAAAATACGAAATTGAGAAAAAAATAAAATTCAATACACATTTTTACCGGGGAAAGGAAGTCGCTGAGACAAAAAACTGGTTATCGAGCAGCGACACCCAAGGTTCGATATGTAATTTGTAAAGTCGGAAACTAAGTTTTAAAAATATTGTTATCTCAGACAAATTTAACGACTGTGTACCAAAATTCATATCAAATTGTAAATGGATATTGAGGAAGTCAATGGGAATCTAAAAATTTATGACAAATTTAAACTATCAAATTAAGACTGATGAAACTAGAAATTACAGTGACTGATACAGCTAGTATTGTCGGATATATACCTGGGAAAGTTCATTGCGTTAAATCAACACCAATGACTCAATAGAAAAGTTAAAAAAATTAGTAACCTGTTTAAAAAAAATGAGAATATTTTATTAAAATTCAATTTACAACTACTTTTATCACCGATTACGAATCTATCGAGCATAGCAACAGCAATAAACCCATTCTACCTCAGGCCATCCTGCCCCATTAGGCCGATCCATTTTACAGACTATTTTCCATTCACCGATTTCTTTATTGAAGGTTTCAATAGAATCCTTGGTCCGGCCTTTACCTTTAGCACCACCAACTGCAAACATTTTATTGTCAACAACACATGCACTGAACCAACCTCTATTCATCTTCATTTTTGCAATTTCTGTCCATGAGCGAACAACCGGGTTATAACATTGAACAAGGTTGTGAGTGCTGATCAAATTCCAACCTCCCAGTACATAAACCATACTTTGAAAAACGACTGCTGCACTATTATATGCTGCTTGAATCATCTGTGGCAGGGAAGACCATTTATTCGTTTCTGGATCGTATACTTTTGCTTCTCTTTCTGTTGGCCAACCTCCCATCGCATATATAAACTCATCAGAGGCAGCAGCAGAATAACCATAACCAAGTGGACATGAAGGCAAATTCTTATCCCATCTGTCTTTAGCAATGTCATATCGCATTGTATGCTGTTCACGGCTAATACCATAAATCCCACCCTTGAGATAAACCATATTATCCCATCTATCACCCTTCTTTTCAACTTTGGCTTTTTTAATCCATCGGCCATCTTGTAGCAAACACAATTCATTCCCATCTGAAGCATACAATCTTCCCTCAGCATTGACAAGATAAATGTCAACTTCATAATCTAACTGCAAACTAGACCATTGATTTGTTTGGAGATTCAGAGCCTTTATACCAGTCTTTGATGATACAGCAATATGTGGGACCAGTTGAGCCACAGGGGCCCTGGCATAGACAACATCAAGCAATAAATCTTTACACTTATGCGACTCTTTAACTAAAGGTTCATTTCTAACTGTTTGCCGAATAAAATTCTCAGAAAATTCCTCAAGTTTTATCAACTCGAACAAGTCTGGAAAAATTTTCTGATTATGACGTCTTTGTTTGGTCCACTTTAGTGCAGCTTCCCATTTAATTTTCTCTGAAGAATATTTCGTTTCCCGAGATTTGAACAAGAAAAAAATTTCATCTTTTCCCAATTCGATAAATTCATCCATCGGTACAATCTGTTCAAAATTCTGAGCCATAAATTCATTGATTATTTTTCTGACATTCTCTGAGCAAACTTGGTTTTCGATCCGATTAATCTTCTTCAAAATGAATAAAGTGTCAAGAGACAAATACTCTTTCAACCCATCGATATTCGAAAGCAATTTTTCGATGACAAAACTTTTTGCATCTGGAGAACTTTCTACCAAAGAATCATTCAACAGATCAGTGAGCAAAAATTCATAAGGAAACTCTCCAAAATGACAAGTCTCCATCAATTCTGATCCAATTTTTTCATCTTTGTTTGAAATCCATCTCTTCACAGCATGCCAAACTATTTCATGATTTCCATCCAACTTTCGCAGATAAAATACAAGTTCTTCTTTGCTCA